TATAAATATATATCTTTCATAAATTTCAAAGGATTGAAGTCACATGGGATATATCCTTTAACCACAATTCTATTAATCTAGAAATTACAACATAACTTTACCAAAGTTAAAGTTAACTAAAACCTTTATTGTGAATATCATAATACCAACATATTTGAAAAAAAGTTAAAATGAAATAGATTGACCAAAAAATCTCAAAAAGAAATAATTAGCCCAGACAGACCTAGTGAAGAAATCAAATTAGTGATTTAAAATCTTTGAAAGGGCAAACTTCAAACTCAGGTGGCTTAAGATAGGAGTTTTGTATGTGGAAACTTACATGAATTAATACAGTCATTATGTGTGTTAAGTAAGGTACTTAGTCATTACATAGAAATCATTACTAGTCTTAAAACACCTGCAATTACAAAAATAAATTGTAAAATGTAATTTTAAAATATGCTACTTATGTGAAAATGAAAATGCTAGTTAACTTTAAATTTATATACATGTTCAGGTAAAATTGTGTGTATATATATATATGTGTGTGTGTGTGTGTATTACATAAATAGTTGTATTTTTAAGGGATTAATGATAAGAAAAAGTCTATATGTTCTGTATATATTTGAACAGCTGGCCAAGATTAACTAAGCAATCTTTAGGAAGGACAGAGAAGTGTGTCCTACCAGATATGAAGATTATTTACATAGCTAAGGTAATTAAGACAGTATGATATTGACACAAAGGTAGTCTAACTAGTTGATAGGAGAGCCTAGAAAACAATGCATGAGTAAATGAAAACCTGACATAATACAGAGATTGCATTGCAGCAATGTAGTTTTGGGACATTTGACTATTATATCCTTATGTTATACACAAAAAAGAATTCCTCAAGGATGTAAATGTGAAAGACAGAATTTCAAAATATTTGAGGAAGATAGGGAGAATATCTCTATGATTCGGTTATAAAGAACTCCTAAATAAGATTAAAAAATAAACCACAACCTTATTTGAGAACATTGATAAATTCATATATGCTCTAATTTATAGCTTTTATTTAATTAGCAAAGATACAAATCTTAACCTGGGAGAAATATTTAATATGCATATTATCCACGGGGGATTTATTCTAGGATGTCCCTCAGATAACAAGATCTATGGATGTTCTTTATATAAAATGGTATAGAATTTGTATATGACATACTCACATCTTCCCATATACTTAAATCATCTCTAGATTATTTAACATACCTATACAGTATAAGTGCTACATAAATAGTTGTATTTTTAAGGGAATAATGATAAGAAAAAGTCTGTATATGTTCTGTAAATATATAGTTTTTCTCCCCTAATATTTAAATTTGAGGTTGGTGGAATCCACTAATGCAGAACTTATGGATATGAAGAGCCAACTATGATGAAAAAAGAATTTGAATTATATAATTAATAAACAAGTCATTAAGAAAAGATGAAATACAAAATAGATAAATGGGTGAAAGATATGAACAGAGATTTCACAGAACACCAAACATGAAGAGTTAAATAATATAATGTTCAATATTTAAGAAAATGCAAATTAAATTGCAAAACCTCAAATACTTTCACCTACGTCATCAACTCTAGATGAATTTGTGAAGGATGTAGAAGTTATAACACTGTTGATGGTAATTTAAATTGGTACATGTACTTAATTATATTATAAAGTTGAGCATATAACCTGCTCTGTGACCCAGCAATTCCAATCCTAGGCATATGTTATAAATGCTATATTTTTGCACTTAGGAGATGTTTACAAGAATGTTAAAGGATCTATGAACAATTGAATACATAAAGAAAGCTGTGAGGGGTGGAGGGAAAGGGAGGGAGAGGGGGATTAGCAAAGATGGGGGAATGTGATGATCATCATTATAAAAAATATATGTATGAAAATTTGAATTTGATGTCAACATACCTTATATACAACCAGATTTGAAAAACTGTGGTATATATGTGTATTAAGAATTATAATGCAATAAAAGAGCCACATGTATAATGGCATAATTTTGGCGTGGACATACTTTATATACAGAGTTACGAAAAATTGTGCTGTAAATGGGTAATAATGAGTGTAAGGCATTCCACTATTGTCATGTATGTAAAAAATAAATAAATAAACAAAATTTTTAAAAAAGGTATTGTGTCCATCTACAACTAAAAAAAGTTTAAAAATTACTTTATTATTAAACATTTATGTGCTCAAACCAGGTCCTGAGCACAGGTGGACTAAGTTATTGTTTATATGATATGATGAGGAATGCTGTGAAATACTATTGCCCCAAATATACTCTTCCACCATCTGTCAAAGGTCTTGATATTATCACAAGTTTAAAAATTTGTTTTCTTCCTTTAAGGCAAATTCTTTCCAGGTGCTACAATTAAAATACAAACCTATATCTGGGCTGCTTTATCACAATAGCACTTATATATCTTAAGAAGTTACAGGATAGGATTTGCAAGTTTAGATGAAAATGGATATAATATATTTACACAAAGTCCTTGCTGCCCAGGGTAGGTAAAGTTGAAGGATCAAAAAAGGATATCTGGGGTGAGGACACTTGGAAACCAATAGTTACTGAAAAGAGAGGGATAGAATACTTAGGGGCAACTAGCCTACTTTATACAATCCTATTCAGGCATTTGTTTTGTGTGCATTTACACATGCACACACATGTACACACACATTCTTTTCTAATAATTATCAGTAATTCTTGGAGAAATCAATGTCATAGCAGCAAATGATAACATAAGAAAAGAAGCAATTAAAGTTTAGGAGAGATGGACAAAGTGGCACATGCCTGTAATCTCAGCAGCTCGGGAGGCTGAGGCAGAAGGATTGTAAAATCAAAGCCAGCCTCAGCAACTTATTGAGGCCCTGCTAACTTAATGAGATCCTTTCTCAAAATAAAAAATAAAAAGGCCTGGGTATGTGGCTCAGTGGTTAAGCATCTCTGAGTTTACTCCCTGGTACTAAACAAACAAAAAATTAGGATGAAGAGAACAAGAGTTAAGCAAGAATATATTAATGAACAAAAAACACATGGTTAGGCTCTTTCAAAATATTTCTTGATTTGTTGATTTTAAAGTGGAATAAAGGAAGATAAAATATACATAGGAACTCAGATTCAGTTTTGTAAGACTGGAAGACGCCGCACCACACGACACAGATCCCCAAAGAGTTTTCCACTTTATTACAAAAGGCTGTGTGTTTATGTAGGTCTAAGGAGAGGTCGCAGGGCTGAGGTAGATAACAGGTCGCCCGTTTATTGGCAAGCTCTTCCATATGTCAGTTCTGGAGTCCAAGAAGTTAATTCTAATTGGGGCTAAGACTTCCCACCAGCAGGGTTTGAACATTGGCGGGAACGTTTCGCGCCAGTGAAAGAAACAAAGAGGAGAAAGGGGGTCGTTAGACGCCTCCATGCTGGGGTATTTCTCTGGGGTGCTGCTGCCGTTATATGTTTTCCCAACAAGTTTACTCATTTTTTTTTTCTGGAAATCTGTGTCCAGAAGTCTGTATCTTTATTTCTTGATAAATACATACATTTTTATGCATTTGTGTTTCTATGTGCCTGTATCTAAGTGAGGTGGGGAGCATGTGAACACTGTGTGAGAGTATGAGAAGGGTGCTAAAATCCTGTTATTGTAAGCCAAGTTATATAAAGGCTTATAATGTTTACAGAGATTCATGAATTCCAGGTATAGTTATTTCTTATACCTAACATGTTAGGTACTTGCTAGTATATCCCATGATCACATTAGCTTTTTAAAATGACTGGTGTTCTGGTTTATTTAGCTTGTGGGTACAATGTGATTGTCAAATAATTTGCTTGTAAACTTGTGGGTTTTCTTGCCCATGATTTTCTATTTTCTATTTGTCTCCACAATTATTACTCTTTACTATCCGCTAAGGTACTCATTCTTGTTTTTAATAAACAATTTTTCTAATTGTCAAGATACTTTTAAACTTTGTTTATGTCTTACAACTTGACAGTCAATTTAGGTTGATATGAAAAGCAATAAAATATTTTCAGTTCCTTTATATGGGGCATTAATAAAATGATATTTGAAAAAAAATAATATAATGGAACACTACTATTTAGAGGAAATGAATGTAGTTTAAATACATAACTATCTAGAACATGCTGTTGAGTTAAAAAAGCAAGACAAAAAATATATGCACTGTGGAAACATAAAGTTCAAAACAGATATTACTTAGGGATATATAATTTTGAAAGTTATAAAGAAGAACAAGGAAATAAAGAATATTTATTTTAAAATATCAGTATCAGGAATGTTTGTTACACTTGAGGGGGCAGTAGGGAAAAACTAATGAAAAGGGATATTCAGAAGCCTTTATCGATATTGGTAATGTTCTGTGTCTTAAAGTTGATGGTTGACTCATGGATACAGAATATAGTCTTATTATCTGTTAAATTATCCATGCTTCCCTTCCCCAATTTCTGTCCCTACCATGTACACCCTTCCTCAATTCTAATTCATCCCTACCCTAAGATAAAAGTGAATCTGAGTGTAAGTACTAATTCAGGGCACTTCTCTATTAATAATTATTACATTTGAGTTATAAAACTCAGTAAATGTTTATACAAAGTATATAAAACAATAGAAATTGAGGGTGTTTCTTCTTTACAGAAAATTAATCTCTTTAGAGTATGCTTTCTCTAGGGGTTTTCTGTTCTAGTTACTTATTGTAATAAAACATGTGGCACTGAAGTTGACTGATTTAAATATTGTTAAAATTCTTTAAAAATAAGCGTGAATGCTCATTTTATATTACTTCTCAAGAATAAATACATATTTTAGGTGGCAAGAGAGACTGTGGAAAATGAAGCATGTCTCACATATGAAAAACCATTATTCCATGAATAAGTTATCTAAGATTCACAAAATACAAAATGACTATGGAATATTTTCAAGTAATCCACAGCCTTTAGTAATAATATTCATGCTATTTTCTTTACTTAAAGGTCAGTAAATTAGAGTTAGAACTAGAAAATGCCAAACAGAAATTTGAAGAAATGTCTGACAACTATCAAAAAGAAATTGAGGACAAAAAGATATCAGAAGACAATCTTTTGGGAGAGGTAGGAAAATCTCAATGTGTTTAGAACTTATACTAAAATTCTATATTTGTTTATTTGCATTTGAAGAAAAAAGTAATATTCTCAGTTTTTAAATTGTGATTTTTAAGAAGTTTTTATAAATGTGTATTAGTGACAGTTGTCAGTTTATATAGAAGCTAAAAGAATTGTAAACATTTGAGTATTCAGTAGCATATAATTTTTTAGAAGTTTAAATATTTATCAGTGTTTCATTGTCAATTCACTTGATAAAAAGCACCCTAAAATACCCAAATAGTATACATTTTCTAATTTCCTGGAGTTTGAGTTTTGCCTTTAATATAGATATATATGTATTTTTATATATGCTTTTTACAAATTAAATTTGTTTTTGTATGTTAATTTTAAGAAACTTTTAATTTGATAGGTTGAGAAGGCAAAATTAATAGCTGATGAAGCAGTAAAATTACAGAAAGAAATTGATATACGATGTCAACATAAAATAGCTGAAATGGTAGCGCTTATGGAAAAACATAAGGTAACTTTATATCATAAAAATTATTAATTGGAGCCATATTTCTGGTCAAAAATGAACTCAAAATATTCTGATTTCTTAGAGAAAATTATTGTACAACAGTGACTAATTATAGCTGGAATTCTTTTGATCCACTTTTTCTAATTTTAGATTTTAATCATACATGGCTTAGGTGCCACTTCCTTGAGTAAATATCCTTATCATATATTTTAGATGGATGTAATCACTCTTTCTGAATTCTTCTAGTAGTCTCATTGCTTGCACTTTCCATCTTTTATTTAAGGAACATACCCAGTATGTATTTCTTATTAGTATTTGTATTCTCTATGTGGTACCTAACACTTACTAAGCTAAACAAATTTTAATAAAGTAATAAATAGATGAAAGACTTAATGTTTGTTGTGTATGTGAGTGTCTGTCAGGAAAGCAGGCCTCATTCCCTTTTAGACTTGGAGAGAGGTAGGCTGTACCTACCTATTCATTTATAAAAATTGTTGCTGGAATCTAACATAATTATGAGGTAACCAATGAAGATTTAAAAAAATAATTAATATTATGAACTCATATATTTAAGTATGTTATGTTTCTGTCCAGTGAAGTTTTTATCCATATTGATACTCAAATTATACCACCTTTGGCCAGTGGGAACCTCTTCAAGCTTACTGGCAAGTCCTTTTGACTTGACTCTGCTAGTCTCTGATAGCTTTCTCTTCGTAATGGCAAAGTTTTCAAAGCTCATTTTGTATTCCCTCTCTCAGATTTTGAATCAGCCACTTCTCTAAGAAGTCTGGGTATTTCTACTGCATTTTTTAAATGATGAAATTCCGTGTTTCTAATTAAAAGGAGTTATTTCTTGCTCTTCTGTTAGGATATTTTCAAGACTGTTTAAGTAGTTTGGATGAAAAAAAAAAATATATATATATATATACACACACACACACACACACACACACACACATACACACATACACACACATATATACACAGAAACTTATAAATATCACTTTCTTCAAATATTAAATATTAGGATATCAAAGACAACTCAGTTTAAATAATTTTCTTTGTTTAATATAGCACCAATATGATAAGATTGTTGAAGAAAGAGACTCAGAATTAGGACTTTATAAGAGCAGAGAACAAGAACAGTCATCAGTGAAAGCATCTTTGGTAAGATACAGTGTTAAATCTTTCTTTAACGAAAACAATAAAAAAACTTGTTTAAATGAAATCTAATCATGTTCAACTAGCAACTTTCATATCTGTATGTTTTTAAAGGATATTTTATGATGAATTTATTTCTCTATATACAGAATTGAATTTACTTGGAGCACTGGTTTACATTTTTATTGTCTTGAGAAATATATGGAAGTGCTTATAAACTTCATATTTCTTTTTCTTTAGGAGCTTGAACTGTCTAATCTAAAAATTGAATTTTTGTCCATTAAGAAGCAACTTGAAATAGAGAAAGAAGAAAAAGTAGGTTTTTTTTTGCCTTATAGGTAAAAGATTGTAAGATTTAGATGCAAATTTGTGCTTTAAGTATGTTATATTAGAAAATAATTTGATTAATTTGGATAACTAGGGATTAGAAAATTCAGTTTTCCCTGCTAGCTTTTCCCTAGAAGTATTTAGCATTTAAATGCTAAACACATGAGTATGTGTGCACCTTTAAGAATAGAAATGCCTTAAAAATAACTATTTGAGAAGTATTATCATATATTAATATTTAAAATACTTTAATATGACTTTTCAGCTATTCATTGTTTCAGAAAAATGGCTCATATCTTTTGCAGTTTACAAGATGAATTGACTCACACTTTAAAATTAAAAATGCTAGTTATTTATTTATTTTTTGCTTTCTGTGTGGCAGGCACTGTATTGAATACCCTACTTTAATCCTTACAATAATGTTGTATGCAATACCTATTATTGTCTTCATTTTTACAGAGATTGGGCTGTTGATTCAAGATTACATAGTTAAGTCTTAACAGTGCTACAGTAGCAACCAGATTGTAACATGAGTTTAGAGGAAACAAGCCTCCAAACCATAGTACTGGATAAATGATTAACAAACATAGTAGTTCCTCCTTGTCTGTCATTTCACTTTCCATGGTTTTAGTATCCACAGTTAACTGTACTCCAAAAATATTAAACAGAAAATTCCAGAAGCAAACAATTCTCAAATTTTAAGTTGCATATCATTGTGAATAGCATGATGAAATGTCATGCTATTCTGCTCTTTTATCTTTGTCCTTTTGCCTCAAAGTCAGCCTGTTCTGATACTTATGCTGTGACCCTCACTTTTCTGTAATTTGTCTCTTACATTTTACATTTACTAACCTTGATTAAGTCTCTGATTTGAGTCTTCTTTTCTCTAATAGTTCTAATCATATTTATTGTTATGATATGTATTTTATTTTGGATTTTTGGGATAACCCTGGTCATGATATATATTTTTAAATGCAACACTGATTTATAACCGATATTTTGTTTAGTGCTTTTATATTAGTAAATTAGAATGGTTTGTAGTTTTATTTTTTGTTGTGTGTGTGTGTTTGTATGTATGTGTGTATATGTATATGTAACATGAAATTAACTGTCTTAACACTTTTTAGATGTACTGTTCAGTGGTATTAAATACATTCACATTGTTGTATGAATATATTTCTCGTACTTTTTTCATCTTGCAAAATTGAAACTCCATATCCATTAAGCACTAATTCTACACCATCCCCAATTCTTGGTAACTACCTTTATGCCTTCTCTTTCTTATTTTGACTACTTCAGTTGCTTCATATGAATGGAATCTTACAGAATTTGTCCTTTGGTGACTTTAGTACCCACAGTTAACTGTACTCCAAAAATATTAAACAGAAAATTCCAGAAACAAACAATTCTCAAATTTTAAATTGCATATACCTTTAAGGTTCATTCATGTTATGGCTTATGATAGGATATCCTTTTTTTAAGACTGTATAATATTTCATTGCATGCATAGGCTGTATTTTTAAAATTCATTCATCTCTTATTGGTTATTAGGTTGCTTTGATCTCTTGTCTGTTGTGAATAATGCTGTGATGAATGTGGGTGTGCATATATTTCTTTTAAATCCTGTTTTGATTTCTTTTGGATATATACCTAGAAGTGGAATTGTTAGATCCTTTGGTAATTCTGTTATTAATTATTTGAATAACCTTCATATTATTTGTTATAGTGACTGAACCATTTGACATTCCCAATTGCAGTGTAAAAGAGTTTCAATTGAATTGCTCCATGTCCTTGTCTGTCCTTGTTATTTTCTGCTTATTTGATAGTGGCCATTCTACTGTATGTGAGATGATCTCTCTTTGTGGTTATGATTTAAATTTTTCTTATGATGAGTATTTTTCAGCATCTTTAAATGTGCTTGTTGGCCATATGTATATCTACTTTGGAGGATTAATTATTCAAGTCCTTATCTATTTTTGAATCATATTAATAATTTTAATTGCTTTTTTTCAATTGACTTGTCATTGAGTTGCTTATAGGTTCTGAATATTAATCATTGTTGGTATGATATATATTTTAATAATGTTCTTGTCCTTTTATTTTTTTGTTAAATATTAATAATTATCTTTTCTCTGAAGTGAATGCATGTTTGTAATGTGTATAAGGTCTTTTCATTTACATTACTGATTACCCTTATATCTTAAGTAATATACCTAATATTTTTTCCTGCTTCATCTTCCCCTGAAAAAGTAATTTTACTATTTATTATTTGACATAGTCAAGATTTATTTTAAAAAGTATATTCTATTCCTTTATCATGATTCCTGTATCTAACTTGAGCTTTATATTTATGTAGATTCAATTCATCATTTATGTTGAACCTTTTTTTTTTTAGTTCTTAAAATAATTCTCATTTTACCTATAAGTCCATTGGTATAAGGAAACTATTATCAGATGATGTCTTAACTTTCAATTAGTATAGGTTGGCTTTATGAGATTATCGAAAACCACCTTCCTCACATGTTTCATAGTTTGATGAATCTCTCCCTAGTGATGTGAAATTTGTTTATTTTCTATCTGGATGTGAATGAAGAGTTGTAAGATCTTCTCGATGATCCTTCCAGCCTTAAAATCTTTTATTCTGTGGTCAGAACTAATATGGGGATTATGACATATACTGGGTTTATCTATTTAAATGGTATACCCAGGAACTAAAAAAAATAGCTAAAGTTTAGGTTTCTGGTCTCATAGACTCATGAAATTTATTACCTGACCCAGATATGCTTATTTTTTTTGGTGGGTCAGGTAATAAATTTCATGAGTCTATGAGGTTACATTGTGACTAGGGTTACATTGTGACTAGTGAGAAATAGTTCTAACATTATAGATCCCTAAGAATTAGTGTTATCTTAGGGTCAATTTTTAATTATCCATAAATATTAATATTTTTATCTTTAATACACAAGATAGTAGGAAGGATGCAGGCAGTATGTATTTGCTATATTGTTGCAGAGTCCTTCTATAGGACGACTGGTCTTCCTTTTTATTTAGAAAGTTTCAGATTTGTAAATTTATTTAGATCTGAAATTTGGTCATGGTGCTGTTATTCTACATTCAGGTAACCCTGCTTTATTCTGTCTTTGCCAGGCCAGTTTACTTTCTCAGATTATAGCAACATTTTATTTACTTAGATTAAATAGGGATTTTAGTGGGTGTATATCTTTGATACTAAGGAACTCATGATCAGTTGGCCACCACCAAAGATACATGTTTGTATATGAGGTAATTCACACCTTAAAAACACATTGTAGGTTTTTTTTTTTTTTAATCTTATTTTTTTGGTGGAGTTCTTTTTTTTGTCTTTTTTGGAACTGGGGGTCGAACCCAGGGCTTTGCGAATGCAAGGCACACGCTTTGCCTCTGAGCTACATCCCAGCCACATACAAACAAAGATGTTGTGTCCGCCAAAAACTAAAAAATAAATGTTAAAATTTCTCTCTCTCTCTCTCTCTCTCTCTCTCTTAAAAACAACAACAACAACACATTGTAGGGGCTGGGGATATAGCTCAGTTGGTAGAGTGCTTGCCTAGCATGTACAAGGCCCTGGGTTCAATCCCCAGTCCCATAAACAAACAAACAACAACAACAACAAAAACCCACATTGTATCAGATCTATACTAAGATATCCAACAAAAAGAGTTGTAGAGATAGTGCAGTTATGGGAGATCTTTCTCCTTTTGTCTTCTAGAAGGCAATATATTCTGGGAATCAGAAATGGTGCAGTTGTGGGAGATCTTTCTCTTTTTGTCTTCTAGAAAGCAGTATATTCTGGGAATCAGTGTAATATTGCTCATTTAGCAAATATAAAAGAAGACAAAGTTCCAGCTCTCTAGAGTATACCAGTAGACATTATAACTGATGATTAACCATTGGTAGATAATGGATACACAGTAAGAACAATAAATACTATTAAATGAGTTTATTGCCTGCTGTTTTTATGATGGAATGAGTTGTGCATGTGGGTTTTTGTTGTTGTTGTTTTATTTGCATAGGAACAATACTGTGAGAGAGATACTATGATGTATGCAAGGTATTCAGTGAAAATAGATAAATTCTGTAGCTTAGCATATTACACTTTCCACAGTGACCACAACATTTTTATCATTTTATCTTGACTGCTTCTATACAAACATTATATTCTTTAGCAAAAGTTACATATTATTTCCTGTTGTGAATTTTTCTATACTTATTCAGGTGATTATATTTGCTTCTCAGTATTTCCCTTCTTTTGTCCCTCACCTCTGCTTACCTTGTGCTGAAAGTTTATTCGTTATTTTAAGTTCGACTGAAATAAACGTTTTTTTTCAACACACAGGGAAAAGTTGATTCTGCTTTTAACAGCCAATAATATTTTGTATTTCTTTGCAGTTCTTCATAGTTACTTGTATGTATCCCTTACTCTGCAATCCTTTTTTAAAAATAATTTTTTAGTTGTAGGTGGACACAATACCCTCATTTTATTTATTTATATGTGGTGCTGAGGATCGAACCCAGGGCCCCACACGTGTTAGGTGAGCGCTCTACCACTGAGCCACAACCCCAGCCCCTCTGCAGCCTTATTCATTATTTTATTTTGCAAATAAGAAAGTTGAGATTCAGAGTTTAAAGAGACTTGATTGCACAGATACATACTAAAAACACATCAGAATAAAAAGATTATCAAAACCAAACTATACCACTATAGAAAGGAGATAATTGTTTTTCTTTTCCTTATTTTATAAGATTGAAAGTTAGTCTTTTTTTTTTTTTGTTGATAGTTAATAGGAATTTTGATATTATTATTATTATTTTAATAATAATATTTTGTGCTTTTGGTAATAAGAATATTCATTTGTGATAATGAAAATGATTATGTTGTATACATTTGATATTAATTTTTAATAGGAAATCCTCAAAAGAGAAGCAAAGGAAAACATAATTACTCCCAAAGAAAGAAAAGACAAGGTGAGAGTTTTATGTAATTCTGATTTCCTGTATAACCAAATCATTTTCTAACATTTGCTTGTAAATAATCATTTTTATTCATATAGAAAAATAACATTTAAAATATACCACACAATTTTATTTCCTAAAGTTTTTTGCTATTAATCAAAAGCATTAGCTAAAAATTTCAAAACACCTTTCATTTGGAGATTAGAGATGATTTCAGTCTTTACAATTCTTATATAGTGTTGTCTAAAGGTACTTGTGTGTTTTCTCTCTTGAAAAACTTCAAGAGAGCTTATATTTAGATTTATCTAATTTGAGTTGAGGGGACTAAATAAATAACATTGTGTTTTCCTCATTTAAGTTCTAAAACAATTAATAAAAGCAAAGGAGAACCAAAAGAATATCTTTATTGTTGATAAAATACTATATTGGACTATATGGTTTATAATTAAAGGCAAGAGAATTTCTTAATCTTGAAATTTCAGATTAGTCAGATTTACCTATTCTGTCATAAGTAAACCTTGACTTGGACAGGTCTACCCACTTGATGGCCAGTTTTTTTTTTAAATATTTATTTTTTAGGTGTAGATGGGCACAACACAATGCCTTTATTTTTATGTGGTGCTGAGGATCGAACCCAGGTCCCGCCCATGCTAGGCGAGCGCTCTACTGCTGAGCCACAATCCCAGGCCCTTGATGGCCAGTTTTAATGTTAAAAACTTATGGCAGAAGCAACAGCAAATGTGTGCTTCCTCTTGTTTTTAAGAGGAGGAGTAATGAAGGAGCTGTACTATAGGTATCCAGTTTGTCCTTCCAAATTCACCAATCACATTAAACCATTGTTCCTTTCCTAAGAAGGTGGTGGGAGGTTAGGAATGTTACCCTAGTAGAGCTTCCTACACATGGAAGGAAGCAACAGGTATGGGGAGGAATATACCTCAGCCTCTATAAACCTATTTGATAATATTGGATTGTTACAGAAGAATTTTGATTCAACCAGTTTTTAGTTAACACAATTAAGTATTTACATTTGAATTCAAAAGAGAAAGAAAGAAATATTAGACCTGTCAGTGAATATTTAGTGCTTCATTTGTCCCAGACACTGCAATCAATACTTGAAAACAGTATATTTGGAGAAATTTTCATTATAATAAAACTAACCTGCAAGGTTGGATATAGTCTTAGGGAAGTGTTTTATAAGGATAAACAAATTGAATAATCACTAATATTCTTTTATAAACATAGGAGTTATTTATATTAAAAGTATATGTCATAAATTCTTATAGGGATGTTTTGATTTATGTGTAATTCCATATTATATGCCTATTTTTGGTATATTTTGTTTGCAGGGGGTTTGGATAATATCAAATTTTATTTTTATATATGTTTTAAAAATGAAAAAAGTGTTTCAAGAAGTGAAGAAATTTAACTAGGCTTTTTGGGTACTTTATTCTAATATTACGGAAATATCATAGGCCTTATATATAATAATCATTAAGTTATCAAACATTTCTGAGTTTGGGCAAGTTGCTTAACTCCTTCATGCCAGTTTCCTCATATGGGAAAAGCTTCTAATAACACCTACCACCTAAATTTGCTAGGAAGATTAAATGAAATGGTGTTCATAAAGCATTTAAAACAGTATTTGGCATAGAATAAATGTTGTATGTTTGTTTAAAAAAATAAAACAAAAAAGTGCATGTTCTTTATATATATATCACTAGAAATAAAATATTCAGAAAAGATGTAAGGAATAGTGTTTCCACCATGTGTTATGAAGAAGGACAGATAATCTCCAGTGGTGAACCTTTTCTTTTAGGCTACCAGGAAAATGTCATTTCCCTGACATGCCACAAGGTGGTACAGTGACTTCAAATTGTCATTCTCAGGCCAAATCGGGGGAAAGTATGTTCATGAAAAGTCAAACTTTGGAGGTTCCAAGGGTGACCATTGATGAATCAAGAGAGCAGAAAAACTTTATAAAAATTGTTCACTCATACGCCATGTGCATATATGATTAAATGACCTGTGTAACTCTACATTATTTACAACCAAAGAATTGAGAAGTTATATTCCATTTATGTATGATGTGTCAAAATGCATTCTATTGTAATGTATAACTAATTAGAACAAATTTTTAAAAATTTTTAAAAAGAAAAAGTAAAAAAAATTGCTCATTCAATTATGATGTAATAATATGTAGGAAAAAGGACATAGAAATGGAATTCTGAAAAGTGGCTACCAAAATTCATATCTGCTGGAAAAATGACTATGAAATGATAGATGAGTAGAACTGGGCAAAAAACTATGAATCACTTAATTTGGCTCCTTGATTTTATGGATAGACACAATTTAAGCCTAGAGATGCTTGGAGATTGTTATGGTTAGATATGAGGTGACTTTCAAAAGTTCATGTGTGAGATAATACAAAAGAGTTTAGAGGTGAAATGATTGGATTAGGAGAGCCTTAACCTAATCAGTACATTAATTCACTGACAGGGATTAACTTGGTGGTAACTGTAGGCAGGGGGTTGGCTGGAGGAGGTAGGTGGGGGGGGGGGTCACGCCTTTGGAGTTTATATATTTTGTCTGTGGTGAGGAGTGTGCGCTCTCTCTTTTTCCCTTTCCCTCACTCTCACCTCTTGTTTCTCCATCTTTTCCTCTCTCCCCCATTCCTGGTGGCCATGTCTTAAGCTGTTTTCCACCTCCAAGCCCTTCCACAATGATGATTGACCTCCCCTCTAGTCCAGAGCAATGGAATCAGCTGTCTGTGAACTAAGACATCTAAAACTGGGAGCCCCGCATAAACTTTCCCTCCTCTAAAATTGTTCTTTTTAAGTCACAGCAGTGAAAAGTTGACTAAAACAATAATTTACTTAAAATCACCTGGCAAGAATAGTGAGAAATCCAGGAGTGAAGACCATATTACATGGCTCCCACTTCAATGTTTTTTTCCCCTCATCTTTTTTATATGCACACAATATAACATTATTTCAGTAGTTTTTAATAGTACATGTAGTCCACCTCTTAATCCTGCACCCCATACTCTCCTAATTTAATCTTACTGTAAATTCAATCATCAAGCTTTTGAAGTATTGTCACTGTGACTCAGTGCATGTGTTTGTATGTTTGTTTCAGTCTTTCATGTGAGTGATTGCCATGATAGTATTCATGGAGATGGTGGTTACTGAAGGAAGTGGTAAAATAGAAAGTGATGAACATGGGTTTCATGCAGGATTCCACTAAAGGAATTATTAATAGCTTTTACTAGAAAGCCAGATTAGATGCTAAAGGAAACTGTATACAAAGGTAGAGAGGACTAGAATGAAGGAAAATGAGTTGAAGTAAGGTTAAGTATTTGGAGTAAATTTACAGTTGACTTACTTTCAGAATTGAAGCAAATAGCCATTTACTCAGTTTGTTTTTCATGAAAATATCTTTTTCTTTATTTTCATGATTCCCCCCACACACCACCACCTTTTTAGGGGTGGTGCTGGGGATTGAACTCAGGGGCACTTGACCACTGAGCCACATCCCCAGCCCTATATTGTATTTTTTTAAGAGATGGTCTCACTGAGTTGCTTATGCCTTGCTTTTGCTGAGGCTGGCTTTGAACTTCCTATCCCCCTGATTAAACTTCCTGAGCCACAGGGATTATAGGCATACGCCACTGTGCCTGGACCTGTATCCCCTCTTTGCTTGAACATGAGTGTGGCTAGTAAATAGAGAAAGACGGATATTTTTATATATAAGAGAGAATGAATAAAAGAATACATAAAAGAGAATGGATAAAAATGGAAAGTAAATTGCCCTCTGGCTTTTAGGCTATTAGACTATTTCATAGATGAAGGCTTTTTTATTTTATTTTTTGCCAAGAAGGGAGACAATGATTGATTGATTTGAGAAATCTCAACTTTTGGTCAGTAGAGTAACCTTGTTTTCATAGCAGATCTATGAAGACAGGGAAGAGGCATTTACCATAATCATCTTAAATAGTCTATTGAAGTGACAGAGTAAGTGTAATTTATTCATGCTTAACTAATAAAATATAAATTTTGGGGTAAATTCTAGTTTGAATATTTTAGAATTCTACTAGTTATACTTTAAATTTAGAAATAATAAAAATAAAATTTAATGATGGAGTTATTCACTTTTGTTTAATGCAGAAAACACAGACATCTTTATTGGAAACACCTGAAACTAATTATCGGAAATTTGACTCTAAAACAGCCTCTTCACAAAATATATCTCGAAATTTTTCATCAGCCAATCATGGCAAATTCAAAGATAAAAGAGACACTCTGTGGACCTCTGCCAAAAGTACTTTATCTGCCCCATTACCAAAGGTTGGTTACTGACATCCCAAGATAATAGTAACTTTCTTTTTAAATATATTTTTTAGTTGTAGATGGACACAATATTTTTATTTATTTATTTTTATGTGTTGCTGAGGATCAAAGCCAGGGCCTCACACCTGTGAGCTACCAATGAGCTACAGCCCCAGCCCCGGATAGTAACATTTTTTAATCAAAAAGAAGATTCTGTGAAAGTAAATACATGTAATGCCAATGATTTAGGAAGCTGAGGCAGAAAGAATTGCCAAATTTGAGACCATCCTCAGCAACTTAGTGAGATCCTATCTCAAAAAACAAAACAAAACAAAACAAAAAGTTAGAATTGAGGGCCTTTACACAGTAAAATTCCCTGGATTTAATCTCCAGTACCAAAAAAATAAAAATAAAAAAGATTTTGGTATCACATTATTCTTACACACACACACACACGTAAAGCTTTGAAATAGCTCTTTGTTCTACTCTTTTTGTTGGCAGGCTGTACCAGGGTAGTGGACCGTTATTTTTAAAGGATAATGTAGAGCCTAGAGATTGTGAATGAGAACAGGGAATATTTAGACACCATAAAGTTTGCTGTTCTTACAGAAATTTGGCATTTTTGGAGTAAAGACTCTGTAGGCTGCTTAAAGCCTTTGTTAATTTTCTGAGTTATGAAAAATATAATTTTGACCATTATTTAACCAATATTTTTATTGCATTTATGTAGGAGTGAAATGTTAAGAGTTCTCATCACTCTGCCCTTTTGCTGATGTCACTGCCATTTTTAATTATAAAAAAATTACAATATAATATGGAATACTAAACCTTAGTTAATGCAAATTACCTTACCAACCCAAGATAAACATTTTCTCACAGAGCAATAAGGAGCTTTATGGATAGAGCAAAACTCACTCCAGTCTTTGTTTTTAATTATAGATAGAAAAATTGGAAGTTCATTTTAAGATTATTTATTGTTGAAGCTGGAGAAGTCTGCCTCTCTTACTTTTTGTCCGTTTTTAGTTAGTTGAACGAAAGGACAAAGCAGTCCATTATTGTGAATTTTTTGGAGAAAAAATTTCTGGAATCAAAGCATCTGAATTAAATTTCTATTCAAATTTCTGTCTCATATATTTACCAATAAATGGAGATTTTTAACTGCTAAAGACTTAAATTGTATTGAATGGTTTATTAAATCCTTTATTAATAATATACTTTATTTGATAGAATGTCTTCTTTTTTTTTTTTTTACTTTCGTATAGGCATATACAGTGAAGACACCAACTAAGCTAAAAATACAGCCTAGAGAAGAAAAGAATACATCTGTTGAGGAAAGTAATAAAAAGAGAAGAATGGTCTTTGAATTTGATATTAATTCAGATAGTTCGGAAACTACTGATCTTTTGGTAAAACATTGTAAATAATCAGTATTTATTGCTTATATAATTTATTATTTGTCTCATTATTTCTTTTTTTTAAATTTTTTTATTGTTGGTTATTCAAAACATTACATAGTTCTTGATATATCATATTTCACCCTTTGATTCAAGTGGGTTATGAGCTCCCATTTTTACCCTATATACAGATTGCAGAATCACATCAGTTACACATCCATTGATTTACATATTGCCATACTAGTGTCTGTTGTGTTCTGCTGCCTTTCCTATCCTCTACTATCCCCCCTCCCCTCCCCTCCCCTCCTCATTATTTCTTGATATGTGTGTTTGTGTGTGTGTGTGTATGTGTGTAAAATATGTACCTAGTATCTATTATTGCAGTACTGATGTCATGGAGCTAATAGAAGCCTTATGGCTTTTTGTAGTATTTTTGAGGAATTAGCGGTCAAATAATTTTCCTCTAAATTTCAGAAAATGTGGCATTTGAAAATACTGACAATAGCATTATTGGAATATGAAATGATTAATCATTGTGTTGTTTTCCAGCAAAGATTTATAAAAATAAGTTAAAAAATAAATTGGGGTGAATATTTTTAATCTTGTAGCCAAATCTGTTAAGGGTCTGCCTCTTTTTTTGCATGTTATACATGTTACTTTATTTGACAGCACTTATTGGTTGATAATTTATATCAAGGTATGGTTGACAAATGTAAAATTTCACTCTTAAAGAATTAATGTAGTAAGGACAGCATGTTTAAGGAATCTGTTTCCTCTAGCACTCTGTGGCTCTGTTTACTCCCTTTATATATATATACTGCTATTTTCTAAAATCATAATGATAGTTTATTGAGAATAATTAAACTTAGTTCATTTAATTTAAAAACAGATAATGCTTGTCTCACTAGATACAGCAAATCACCAAAAAATTTTAATGACAAAATTCTGATCAAAGCCATTTATTTCATTATTACCATTTGTAAGTATAAGATTATTTTTTCCCAACTTCAACATATGAGAGAGAACCTACAAACCTTATCTTTCTCAGTCTGGTTTTTCCCTTAACATACTGCTTTCTAGTTCCATCCATTTTCTGTAAATAACCCAATTTGTTGTTTTTTTATGTATGACTGAATGAAACTTTATTTTATATATATATATATATATGTCATCAATGATCATTTAATGATATCATTGATGATTGTCATTCTTACTGGAGTTAGATGATACACACACACACACACACACACACACATCCCAAATTTTCTTTATCTATTCATCTGTTGATGGACCTAGGCTGGCTCCATAACTATTGTGAATTTCGTAACTATAAACACGGACATGCACAAATTTTTGTAGTACACTGTCTATGATTCGTTTGGATAGATACTGAGGTATATCTGTATCATATGGTAGTTACAATTTATCAATTTCTGAGGATTTTTATACTGATTTCCATAGTGGCTATACTAATTTACATTTCCACCGATTATGCATGAGGGTTACCTTTTCCCTTCATTCTCTTTAGCATTTATTGTTTGTATTCTTTTTTTTAAACACATTTTTTTAAAGAGAGAGGGAGAGAGAGAGAGAGACAGAGAGAGAGAGAATTTTTTAAAATATTTATTTATTTTTTTTAGTTTTCGGCTGACACAACATCTTTGTATGTGGTGCTGAGGATCGAACCCGGGCTGCATGCATGCCAGGCAAGCACGCTACCGCTTGAGCCACAACCCCAGCCCTATTGTTTGTATTCTTGATGATTGGCATTCTTAATGGAGTGAGATGAAATCTCAGTGTAGTTTTGATTTGTATTTCCCTGATCACTAAGGATGTTTAACTTTTTTTTTTCATATAATTGTTGACCATATATACTTCTTTTGAGAAGTGTGTGTTTAGTTCATTTGCCCATTTATTGAACAGGGGTGTGTGTGTGTGTGTGTGTGTGTGTGTGTTTTGAGGTTTTTGAGTTCTTTTTATGTTCTGGACATTAATTCTCTGTCAATTGAGGAGCTGGCAAAGATTTTCTCCCATTCCATAGATTCTGTTAACTTTTTCCTTTGCTGTACAAAAGCTTTTTAGTTTGATGCCATCCCACTCATTGATTTCTGCTGTTATTTCATGAGCTATAGGAGTCCTAGTGAGGAAGTTGCTGCCTATGCTTACATGTTTGAGAGTTTCTCCTAAGTTTTCTTCTAGCAGATGCAAAGTTTCTGGTCTTATTCCTAGACCTTTGATCTATTGTGAGTTGATTCTTGTGCTAGTGAGATATAGGGATCTAGTTTCAATCTTTTACATATGAATATTCAGTTCCCAGGACCGTTTGTTAAAGAGGCTGTTATCTCCACTCTGTTTTTGGCACCTTTGTCAAGAATTACATGATTATAGATGTTTGTCTCTGCACCTTCTATTCCATTGGTCTACATTTCTATTTTTATTCCAGTACATGCTGTTTTTATTATTCGACTCCATAATATAATTTGAAGTCAGGTACTGTGATGCCTCTGGCCTTACTCTTTTTGTTCAGAATTGCTTTGGCTATTCTGGGTCTTTTGTTCTTTCAGATGAATTTCAGGATGTTTTCCTTAGTTCTGAGGAAAATATCATTGGTATTTTTATTGGGATTATGTTGACTCTGTAGATCACTTTTGATAGTATAGCCATTTTTATAATAATAATTCTCCCTATCCATGACATGGAGGTTTGGGGAATGGTTATTTTCCTGAAACCTAGACTTGAATGATTAGATTATTTATTTGGGATCATTATGTTGTTGTTGTTGTTGTTGTTGTTTTTAATGTAGGCACTCATAGGTATACACTTTTCTCTTAAAACTGTCTTTGCTGTGTCCCAGAGATTCTGGTATGTTGTATTTCTGTTCTTGTTTGATTCTAAGAATCTTTTTAATTTCTCTCCTGATCTCTTCAGAAGTGTATTGTTCAATCTCCATGTATTTATATAATTTCTGTAGTTTTTCTTGCTATTGAATTATAATTTTATTCCATTATGATCTGTTAAGATGCAAACAGTTATTTTAACTTTTTTATTTCATAAGACTTGTGCCAAAAAAAAAAAAATACTTGCTTTGAGTCCTAAATAATGATCTATTTTGGAGACAGTTACACAGGAAAGTGTATTTGCCTGATGTCAGATGAAATATTCTGTAGGTGGGTGTTAAGTCCATTTGATATACAGTATGTTTTAACTCTCTAGTATCTTTGTTGATTTTATGTCTGAATGACCTATGTGTTAGTGAGAGAGGCATATTGAAATAAACCCAGTGTTACTATGTTGGTACCTATCTGAACCTTTATATTGAGTAATGTATTTTTCTTATGTAATTAGGTGCCCTGATATTTGGGGCACAGATATTAATTATACATTCTAGTTGGGTTGTTCCCTATATCAGTGTATAGTGACTTTCTTTGTCTCATTTGGTTAATTCGGGTTTGAAATCTGGTTTGTTGGATACAATAGTAGCCACTACTGCTTGCTTTTGGGGTCCATTTGTGTGAAATACCATTTTCCATCCTTTCACTTTCAGCCTGTGAATGTCTGCCAATGACATTCTTGTGGGCAACATACAATTGGGTCTCATTTTTAGGTCTCGTTTGTCAGTATATGTCTTCTAATTGAAGAATTGAGGCCATTTATACTCAATGTTATTATGGAGAGAGATGTATTCTTGTTATTTTGTTTTATTTCTAATGTTTGTTTCTATATTCTCATTTGCTTATCTATTATTCTAATGAGATTTAATCTTTCCCATTCTCTTAGTTGTTTGTATCTTCATCTTCTGTGTATAGGATTTCTTTAAGCATAGTCTGCAATACTGGCTTAGTAGTCATGAATTCCTTTAGTTTATACTTATCTTGGTTCCCCTTCCCAATAGCTTTATTTGCAGAAATGAAAAAGTCAGTACTCAACTTCATGTGAAATTTGCAAAGGGTCCTAAATGGCTAAAACAATCTTGAAAAATAAGGTTAAAGTTAGAGAACTCATAGTTGTCAATAGTGATACTTACAACAAAGCTAGTGATTAAAACTATTTGTTAGGGGTTGGGAGCATGGCTCAACAGTAAAACACTTGCCTAGAGGCACTGGGTTCATCCTCAGCACCGCATAAAAATAAATAAAGGTATTCTGTCCATCTACAATTTAAAAAAAATTTAAAAAACCTATTTGTTACTGGCAAAGGGACAGATATATAGACCAATGGAATAGAACAGAGAGATAAGAACTAACTCATTATAGTAATTGATTTTTTTTTTTGACAACAGTGCCAAGACCACACAATGGGGAACAGACAGTCATGGTTCTTTTCCCCACAACAGATAGTACTGGGAAAAATGGATACTCACATGTAAAAGAGTAAAGTTGGACCCCCTTACCTTATAGCCTATTAAAAAATTGACTTGAAATGGATCAAAGATCCACTTATAACTAAAACTATAAAAATCTAGAAGAAAATATTGGAGAAATTCTCATGACATTGGATTTGTCAACAACTTTGTATATACAACACCAAAAGTGCAGAATAAATAAAATAAAAAATCGATAAATTGAACCTCGTCCAAATTAAGAACTGTTATATATCAAAGGACATTACAAAGAAAGTACAAAGAGACAAGTTACAGAATAGGAGGAAGTGTTTGCAAATAATTTGACATGGGTTTAATGTTTAGAATATATAAAGAACTTCCACAATTCAACAATAATAAAACAACTTCAAAAAAAAGCAAAGATAAGCTACAGAATAGAAGGAAATATTTGCAAATAATTTACCTGACAGATGATTTAATGTCCAGAATATATAAAGAACTCCCACAACTCAGTAACAAAATAACCCAACTAAAAATGGGTAAAGGACTTGAATAGATTACATATTTTTTTTTATTTAGTGTGCTATAGTTGATTTTATTTTAGTAATAGTTTACCATATGATTTTTAAAATAATTTCTCCTTTCTGATATGGCTTATTGGTACATAGTAGTTCTGAGAGTATTTGTAAAGGTAGCCCTACAACTTATTCTGTTGATATCTTAGAATTCATGAAAATTTGCTTGAATATTCTTATCTGTGAGGCTTCTGAAATTTAAGTGTGAATTTAATGAGCATGAAGATATCATGTGAACTGACTGCTTACCTGAATGAATGAATTGTGTAGTGTATTCATTGAGAATGGATTCTATAACTAGATGCCTGAATTTGAAACCCACCTCCACCTCTTACTAGTTGTACAATGTGGGGGAATTACTTAAAAAATGTGTGTTTAAGTTTCTCATCTCATAAAATTGTGAAGATTAAAACTAAATATGTTGGGGCTGGGGTTGTGGCTCAGTAATAGAGCACTCACCTAGAGTGTGTGAGGCCCTGGGTTCGATCCTCAGCACAATATAAAAAATAAATAAATAAAATAAAGGTATTGTGTCCAACTAAAAAAATAAATATTAAAAAAACTAAATATTCAAAGCACTTAAAACTTGTAATAGCTGACTGGTATATGGAAAATACTAAATGTTATATATTATTATTTAGGGGAATTTCAAAATTCATAAATTGATAACTACAATTTTAAATATTTTATTGTGGGGGCTGGGGATGTGGCTCAAGCGGTAGCGCGCTCGCCTGGCATGCGTGCGGCCCAGGTTCGATCCTCAGCACCACATACAAACAAAGATGTTGTGCCCGCCGAAAACTGAAAAATAAATATTAAAGAATTTCTCTCTCTCTCTCTCTCCCTCTTTAAAAAAAATATTTTATTGTGATGAAATACCCGTAACAAAATTTACCATTTTAACTATACAGTAATCAGATGTGTTAATAAGTATATTCATAATGTGCATAACCATTATCGCCATCCATCTATCTCTATAGCTCTTTTTATCTATCTCTATAACTCTTTTCATCTACTTCATTAACTAATAACCCCTTTTCCCACCCTCCCTGCAGCCCATGGAAACCACCATTCTGTTTTGTGTCTATGGTTTTGTCTACTCTGAGTATCTCATAGAAGTGGAATCATACCCAGTTTGTCTTTTTGTGACTGACTTTTTTCCACTTATAATGTCTTCAAGATTCACCCATGTCATTGTATGTGTCAGAATTTTCTTACTTTTTTAAGGATGAATAATAATAATAATAAATAATATATATATAATATACATGTGTATAATATATGTATATTTTGCTTGTTCATTCATCTGTTGGTGGACATTTGGATTGCTTTTACATTTTAGTTGTAATGCTACTATGAATATGAATTTTCCCTTCAAGACTCTGCTTTCAGTTCTTCTGGGTATATCCCCAGCAGTAGAATTATTGGATCATAGATAATATTATAATTTTTGTAGGATTATAAATGTTATTATCAGGTCTAAGTGTGAGTTGAATGAGTAGGGTGGGGGAAGTAGGGGAGAATGTAGGGGAGAACGGTATTATAAAGACTCTAAAAACTGAAGAATAAATCAGTAGAAAAGTACTTTTAGGAGTATATTTAATAGAATAAAAATCTAGGTCCTATTTTGGCTGATTGAAGATTTACTTTGTTGTCTTCTTCCTTCTTTGGTTTTTCTTCTTTCTCTTTTTCCTCCTTTCTTGTCCCGCCTCTCTCTTCTGTTCTTTCTTCTTTTTTCCTCCCCTTATTCTACTATTCATTCTCATATGTGATATGTTGACAGAATTTTAATAATGTAATGTTAACGATGGTAGTCCCAACATTATATTTTTGTATTTTTCTTCAAGAGCATGGTTTCAGAGGAAGAGACATCGAACAAACTATACAAGAATAATAATCCACCAGTTTCTCATCTTTGTGTCAGAACACCAAAAAAGGTAGCTTTTACATTTTATTTCAGAGAGCAAATTTTAAAAGCCTGGCTTTATTTTTTTTAAAAAAAATTTAAAAGCATTATCATTGTATTTTATTTTATTTTACATTTAGACTCCTTCATCTCTGACAACCCCTGGATCTGTGCTGAAGTTTGGACCTATGAGAAAAATGAGAGAGGACCACTGGGCTATCATTGCTAAAATGGATAGGAAAAAAAAACTGAAGGAAGCAGAAAAGCTATTTGTTTAATCTCAAAAAATCTCAGTGTGATTTTTAATAGCCTCAAATTTATGGTTAATTTAAAAATTATTTTCCCAAAAGCCAAATTTTATCTGGAAGTTGAGATCTTAAAAATATTTGCATATGGGGCTGGGATCATGGCTCAGTGGTAGAGTGCTTGCTTCCCATGAGTGAAGTACTAGGTTAGATTTTCCAGCACCACATAAATAAATGAATAAAATAAAGGTCCATCAACAACTAAAAAAAAAAAAATTAAGAAAATTTGCATAAATAATTTGTGTTTCTTTATACAATTAAATTTTTTGGCTTAAATGTGAAATAACTATATATTATCTGAAAACTTGTCGTTATATTCAGATAATTAGATGATCATATTTTGTTACCTTTTACTGTATTCATGAAAACTGTTTTTACCAAATTTTCAAATCTTTAAAGTTAGCCTTTGCTAGAAATGCTTTATTGTGATTTATTCTTTACTATTAAATATTTTATATGCAAATAAATGCTTCTCATTGATTCTGTGGGGATATCAGAATAGCTAGTAATCATGTTCAGTTTTTTAAATCTTGAGAGCTTATTAGTGGAGTTTTATACTTCTCAAGAAGCTTTGAATGCTCTATGAAATTATTAAATGGCTTTTTATGTCAGGAAAAAAGGCTATAACAGTATGATTTCCTGAAGTACTTCATTTATTCAAGATTCATTAAGCAAATATTGAGTTTCTACTAAGAGTCAAGCATTAGGTCTAGATACTAGGAATATAATAGTGAACAAAAAAGAAAAATATACTTTATTTTTTAGGAGTTTACATTGTAGTGAGAGAAACAATAAAATAAAATAAATAACAAAGTATAGTATATTAGTTAATGATAATTACTAAGAAAAAAATGAGGAATAGTACTATGTGGAGTATAAAGTGGGTTAGAATTTTGGGTAGGTTAGCCCTCACCTAAATAACATTTGAGTGAAGATCTGATGAGAATAGCAAGTGAGCTTGAGCCTTTCTGGGGGCAGAATATTCATGGCAGAAGGAATATGAAATACAAAGGCCCAGAGGGAGGAATGTACCTAATATTGTCTGGGGAGCAGCAAAGAGGCCCTTGTGGCAGGAGGACAGTGAACAAAAAGGAGAGTAGAAAGAAGAGAAGGCCTGTTAATGGGATGGGGAGTTTAGGTGGCAGAATTTAAGTTTATAGATTACTACATAAGAATTTAGGCTTCTACTTTGAATAAGATATACGGTTATTAGATGATTTTGAGCAAAAAAACATGATCTGACTTATGTTGTAACAGGATCTTTCTGCTAAAATAGGGAAAACAGGTTCTAATAATGCTTAGGAGAGATGATAGTGATCCAAACAAGAGTGACAGCAGCAGAGAAGCGAAGTAGTGAACTTTCAGATGTAGTATTTTGAGGGTTATATGGGATATGAAAGAAAGAGAATGGACCAAGAATAACTTCAATATTTTTGTCTGAACAATGGAGTTTTGCACATCATATGTTTGAAATGAACATCAAACATCCTAATACCAATAGTGGGTAGGATTAGAGATAGGCCTAGACTAGTGATGTAAAGTTGAGAGTAGCATATGTCAAGCTATCAGACTGGATGAAAACATGTGCAATCATGGGAGTTATCTACCTTAAAAACAGAGGAGATCAGAGAGATGATAAGGAGCCATTAAAGTATTAGCCAGAGTGGTATTAGAAAAACTAGAACTATGTTTCTTGGAAGTCGAGTAAGGAAGTATTTCAAAGAAGACAGTGTGATAAATTGTATTAAATGTTTCTCAGAGTTAAAGTAAAATTGATTAATGTGTTACTAATGTGGAGGTAATTGGTAATCATTATAGTAGTTTTAGTGAAGCAGAGTTTGATTGGAGGAGTTTAGGAGAGAATAGGGGGAAAGGAAGGTGGAAACAGCTATTGCTATCAGGTATAAGGAACTCAAGAAATTACACTTTAAAGGAAGAAGATAATTGGAGAAGTTGTTGGAGAGGAAAGTGGTGTAATGATCTTTTTATAAGAAGTAAGGATTATAACATGTTTGTATACTCAGGAAAGACTTAGGATATGGGAAAGATGATAATGTAGGACAGAAAGGAGAATTTTTGTTGTTGCTATTGAATGTCTTATTTGTAATAGGTAAGCAGAATGAAATTTAGTGGATAAATGAAAGTATTGGCCTTTAGGTAGAAGAATAGACAATTCTACCACAGTAACAGAGAAAAGTAAGAGTATATGGCACAAAATGATGATAAGTGGATGGGAGTTTATAGAATTTTTTGTTTCACAGCTTTGGTTTTTCTCTGTGACGTAGGAATTTAGATCATTCACTAAGAAAGAGGGTCAAGGAAGAAAGTGCTGGAGGTTGTGAGAAAAAGAATAGATTTGAGGGGCTGGGGTTGTAGCTCCGTGGTAGAGTACTTGCCTTGCACACATGAGACACTGGGTTTGTTCCTCAGCACCACATAAAAATAAATAATTAAAAACAACAGTATTGTGTCCATGTTCAACCAAAAAAATTTATAAAAAATGAGTAGACATGAAGGACTCAAAGTAGGAAAATGAATGGACTTTATTTTTATTCATGTGTTGTTTTTTTCATAGTTTTGGAGTTGTCTATAAATAATAATTATGGTGTGGTAGAATTATAATCCCCCTGTGGCAGGGATTGTTTTGTAGGAAAGGTTAACCAAGAAAAAATGAAAATGTTAATAACAGAAATTTTGTTTTTCCTTCAATTTGTGTAACTATGACTATAATTTGATATGACTATAATTTGATAACCCAGCTATAGTCTTTCTAGCTTTTTCTCTCTAAATTGAAACTTCATAATTAGTCTCTTGAGGAAGCATTTTTGGAGGATTATTAGTCTTGAAAATATAATATTTCACATTTGAAACTATATATTTTAGAATATCTTAAAATAACATAGGACTTGTGCATTAGTTAATAGCTGTTTTGGCTAACCATTTACTTATTTATTTAAGTCAACATTAATGTGATTATTTAATGAATACCATTTCTATAGGCAGTGATTTAGGAACTCTGGTTCCTTCCAATTTGTAGTTCTACCTGCTTCAACAATTGGCTTCCAAGGTTATTGCAAAAAGCAAAACATCATGAAGGACCCATGTGGGAAGTCTGTAATAACCCCAGACTTGAAACAGATGTATATCACTTCTACCCAAATTTTACTTTCTGCAACTGAGTCATATGGCCATGCTGAAAGGGAACTATGACCCATATTCTAGATACCTCTTAAGAGATCATGAAAGGATTAGGTGAACAACTTGCCAGTCTGTTAAAATTAGTTTATACTAATTTTCAATATTGTTTTTCCTTTTAATTAAAACAAAGAGGTAAGTGCCGGGGTTACAGCTCAGTGGTAAAGCATTTTGCAGAACATGTGTGAATCATTGAGTTCGAGTCTCAGCACCACATATAAATTAATAGGTTAAAAAACAAGGAGTTAAGACTCCTAAGGTTTGAGAGATTGCTTACACATGCTGAGCATGCTTCTATTTTGAAAACTTGCCACTCTTTCCAGCACTTCTGATTCTCCTTACCCTGCTCTTTTTCTCCCTATGGCATATGCCATTTTCTAACATACTTTGATTACTCTGTTTATTATTCATTGTCTCCCTTTATTAGAATGAGAATTTTACAAAGGTAGTTATTTTTGTCTGCTTTATTTATGCATTATAAGTGGTTAGAACAATGCCTGGCCCATGATAGGTACTCAATATTTGTTGAGTAAATAAAATATAATACATAGTAAAGAAAACTTACATGTACTATATTGATGATTCTTACAACTAGTAAAATTTCAGTGCTGAAATGTTGAGTACATGACTTGAAATCAAATATGAGATTTTCTTTGAAATTATTATTATACAATACTGTATTATTATAATAGCTTATATTTGATTCTTCTTTGAACCAACTTAGAATCAAATTCATAACTAATGTTATTGTTTTTACTTTTAAACAACTCCTATTATTAATAAACAATTGTTTTTTCTTATTTTTGCAGTGTTGACTGTCCAACCCAGGGCTTCACACATGCTAACAAGTACTCTTTATCACTGAGCTACACCCCAGCCCAACAATTGGCACATTTATAATTTGATTATTTAATTGTGAAAATTTTGTAAGCTAATTACACATTTATTAAGCAGTGCCTTTAAAAGGATTGAGTACATTTTAGATAGGAAGCTTTTTACCATTTGGGGTTGGAAGGAAACTCTTATTCCTTGTCTTTTAGCTACTCTTTGTAGGACTGATTGAGTTAATCTGAATGATGAGTTTAGGATAAACTGAGCATATGGGACCTAGACTCTTCTGTCTTTTGGGTATGGAGCTTCTAGCAGTGACCACATGATCTGCTCCATACTATTGTACAGGACAGGTAGAAGGATAGTACTACTGTGAGGAGATAAGATTAATTCAGGAGACTATTTGATAAATAGGTTGGATACTTTGAGAAGAAAATTAATTGGTCTTTAGGAGAGCTAAATAATAAATTTAGCCTGTGTCTTTGGTGGCATTATCTGGACAGTAGCCACATAGAACTTTTCAAATGGGGTACGACTGTAGCCTGTGGTAGTCTTATCTTTACAAGAGTTACTGCCCCACCCCCACCGCCCCACCCACCCTTTTTTTTGTACCAGGGATTGACCCAGGGGTGCTTAACTACTGGGCTTCAATAGATAATGCATAAGCTTTGTCTGAAGCAAAACTGAGTCCCTCAGAGTATACAGGCCATAGACTTCAGAACAAGCCTGGGCTAAGTGGGCCTCAGCCAAATACCCTGTTAAAAAAGCAAATGTTAGCTATAATAGACTCAGGCAGAAGTCACATTTCAGATAGACCTTTTTTTGAGGGGGAGTGGAATTTACTTTGAGAGTAGAACCAAAAGAATTTGTTGGGGATGAGGATGAGTTGAGAAGAAGAAAAGGTACAAAGCTGAATTTTGAAGTACTGTTTTGGGCATTTATAATGTTTGATATATCTTAGATATCCAAATAGAGATAATGAATGTATAGGCAATTGAACAAACGGTTATAGAGTTCTCTAGAATAAAGTCAATATTTAATGATCATTGGCATATATAGATGCCATTTAAAGTACTGGACTGAATGCACTGTCTTTACAGATAATAGATGTGCAATTATAGAAGAGAAAGGAGTTAGTACTGCACCTTGGGGCACTG